CTAAGTGTGAGAACTTACAAAGTCCATTAACTTAGAACCATATAATACCCCATGAAAACTACACTAGAGTTTTACTACACCTATATTTCACAATGATTCCTTCCATTCAGGGAAACAGCACATAATTTATCCCTGATGTAATGAGATTCTTAGTTACATACTTTTCTATTTTGTATCTTGAATACTACAACATTCTCAGGCAGTCATTATGATCTCAAACCTTATGCAGGAATCAAAAGGAAAAACACATGGAAGGAATTTGTTTAATTAAAACCTTGTTTACTTTGCATATATGTATCGCATGGACTTCAACAGAACGATTTAAAATTTTTTAACAGTAAAATTTTACCATTTTCTTGTTAAGAGATATAATGTATGTTGGCAATGAAATCAAAGATTGCATAAAACATTTATAATGTAGAACATACAGCTTGAAGCTATTTATAAGTGCTCTCCACATTTCCAGGTTTGATTTTTACAGTAGCACAGCCTGAAGCACTTAACTGTAAAAACATCATGCCTCTCTACTGCTCCTCCTACAGGAAAATTACTTCTGTAAAGGCCTGAACCTAAGCCCCATATATCAAGGGAAAAAGCTTCATTGCTCTGAATGGAAAGAGCTGCCTAGCTCCCTGATTCTAAAACTATAAAGAAAAACAGTTTTGCATTTAAAGAAGTGAAAAAACACATATTATTTAAGTCGGAAGGAAGGAAGAAAAGCTCCCTGGCCACAGATTAAAAACAACTAAGTGAAACTCCACTGCGGGTAAGAGCTGACCAGGCCATTCTTTCTGTGTCTCACTAATTTCTGGTTTGTTTCTATCCCTTTGCAGAGTTTTCAGAGCAACTTCACAAGAGCAACACAGCTCTGCCACCAACCACATGTCACAGATGCGGCACAGCAGCTGTGCCTGTGACAGAGGAGCTGGCCTCATCTGATCAGGCCATTTTATGAATCTCTCATAAAAGGAAGCATGCAAAATATGCAAAATGTTACCCTGAGACTGGAAATAGGTTAATGAAAAGGTTTCGGGAAGGTTCTAGGAGAAGCTGGGAAGTGCACCAGGAGAAGTGATACCACGGAAACAGCACTTATCTGACTGACAAGCTGTGTTCTTTCATGCCTGGATTTAACTGCCAATTCATTTAGTGTTGATGATGATTTAGGGATGATTTCTATCACCTTCATTCCCTTTTATGTTCTATCTGTACATTGTACTTACAAAGCACAACCGTTAACTCATTCACTGGCCTGAGATTTTGCTTGAAAACATCTATTAAATTGGGTCCAATTCCATTTAAAAAATCACCAAAAACCCTCATGTACCATAAAAAGAAGGAGCTAAAATCCTATACCTCAATCCTACTTTCCTAAATCTTTTTAATGATATTATCTATTTCATTGTGAATTCAGTGGCTGTCTCCAGTGAAAGAACAGCGGCATTTGCTACACCACAGATTTCATAGCACATCTGCCATGGTGCTGTAAATGCATGCAGAGGAGACTGAGAAAATGCAGCAGTGTATATCAAGTAAAAGTTCTCTCTAACTAATCAAGTCCACAGGGACAGCATGCAGTGTCACAAAACATATCACTCTACAGTTGAATGAGGTTGTCAGCCACTGGGAGGCCTGCAAACTGCTGACAGCAATATGCAGTATGTGGAGTCTTCTAAAGCAGATCGAATAGCTTTGGAAAGTTCATACCTGCTTCTACAGAAGAAGCAAAAAAAGAAAGAGAAATAAAAAGGATATTTGTAAATCTACCTTTCTACATTGTAGTGCTGTGAACAAAACCAAACTCATCTGAGTATGTCACAGGAACATGAAAAAGGTTACTTTGTAGGTTTCTCAAAAATGCACATATACTTTTCTTCATGCATAGATCAAAACAATATGGAATTTATTACGATACCATCTGTCAAAATGCAATGCAATATTAATTCAGACAAAAAAGGGAAACAAGAAACCTCAGATTCTGAAATCACAGAGGAAGCATGGATTCATATACTTTTTTTTTTTTTTTTTTTTTTTTTAACAGATGTGAGAACTCAAGGAGAGCTGCAAAAGTTTAAGTTCAACCATACTCAAACTAATGGTGAAAAGTGACATAAAAAACTTGTAAGAAGTTCAAGAATAAAAGCAAAAGTTTTTTCCCATTCTTTACTTGTCACTGTAGGAAACTACCATGCTTTATAGAAGAATTCATATAAAATCCTCATATTAGTCTCACCCCAGATTACTACATTTACTAGAGTAAATACATTGGGAATACACTTATTAACACATACTCATGAAGAATAGAAACTAATATGTGACTTTCAAGACATTGGTTGTACTACAACACTTAAAATTTTGAAGAAGTGTCTTCCCATCTAAAAGCTGCTTCTCCTGGAAAAACCTATCAATCTTAGGAGAGATACCACCTTGCTCTCTAAGTTCTGTCTTACTAAACTTTCTCTGTTTTCAGAAATTTGGGTATGTGATCTTTATAACTCATACAATGAAAACATAGAATTTATATTCAGGCTTCCATTTAAAATGTGATCTGCATTGTGTTTAGATTTAATTAATTTAAATTTTCAGTTTTAATTTGATGATACTTTTTGCTAATCACACGCTTCTAGTCACCACCTTTCAGAACACTGACTTAAAAAAACATTATTTAAGTATCAATTTTATCCTTAGCATTTCTATTGTGCTGAATTAGGAGTGGGCTTTGAAGGTGTATTTGAAAACACATATCAAATTATACTTGTGCATACACTATTTCTGTTAGGGTAAAAACATTTACTTCTGTATTTATTTAACTAGAGCAGCTAATGACCTGCTCATACAAATTATATGTGACTAAGAAAACTACTAAGTACACTCCATAAGACTGTAGAAGGGGACAAAAATGTGCAACCCAAACCTACATAATGAGATTTGCTTCAAGAACATTCTCTTTGAAGTACTGAACTATCAAGGAACGTATTTACTTGGAGTACTTTGAACATGTAAAAATAACATACAGGCAGCACTGTCTCTGTAATGGCACAGAACCACATCTACACCCAGATGCTGCTTCTTGTGCTCAAGATGATCCAAACATGGTCCTCTGCTTTAGCTGGCATTGCTTGTTTAACAGCAAGCTGTTCTGAGTAGATACTTTCTGCATCTATCTGGATAGAGTGATAAACTCAGGCCAGATTTACAAAAATATTTTTAGCTATTTTCTGGAGTAGACCATGGATTTCTTCCTGTGAGAGTGAATTTCACTTTTTGCTCTTTTCCATCTAAATCATGCAGTGTTTTAATTACACAGCAGTCTCAACAAATAGATTGTCACAGCATTTCAGACTATCAAATTCTATTCTAACTGCCAGCAGAAGATGGAATAATGTCTTCATTGGTTTGGCTTAGTTTAACCCACCTGCTTCTGTTCACTCAGGACATTATATCCATAAAAACAAACAAACCAAATAAAACAACCAACTCCTCCCCAGCCAAAACTAACAAACAAAACCTTATATTGTAGAAATCTCAAGACTTGGATACATTCTGAAAATCAAACTGCTACAAAGTACAAACTTGGGACTTCCTGCAGCCAGTTAAAAGCAACTAAAAATCATTTTTAAATAGATAAAATAAACATTGTGAAAAGAATGTGTTGGAGAAAATAAGAAATAATTTTAAGATTTGTAGTAAGCATATTGCTGTTCCTCTGAAATTGAGGGACCAACTATAGAAAAACAAATGAAAACAGATATACAACACCTGATCTACATGTAAACTAACATAGCCCTCAAAAGGCACTGGATCTAAAGTTCATTATTCTGTCTGACCCTACATTTAGATAAGAAGTGGCTACATTAGGGAAAAATCAGGAATACACTTGATATGTAGATTCTTTGACGATTGCTATAGCAATTGATAATCCCTAGGTTATACTACATGCTGTTCATTTTTCCAAAATTATCGTGAGATTAATTGACATTCATCATGTCTGTTTGCTAGTTTGTTTTACACAATTTTAGTGGCTGGGAAACACAATGACATATTTAGTTCTTCAAAAGGAACTGAATTTTTAACGCACATATAACAATAAACACACATGGTATTTTTAATTGCTCACTATAGGCCAGATGAATTTAGAAGCAGATAATACTTTTCTAACAGTAATTCTAAGGTAGTTCACTCCTCAGGAATGCAGATGAAACATAATCTTGTTTAAGAGAAAGTGCAAGTCTTATTCACAGAACAGTGGCAATACACAGTGACACAAAAAAGCTAATGCATGGTAAGAATCAAAAGTTTAAGGCAACACTCAAACAAGAACACAAGGAAAAACATAACGTTCCTTCTGTTTTTTTTTTTCATCTTCCTAACTTTGAAACTAAATTATGAAATCTGTGTCAATAATAATAAACAAGCATGTATATCAGGAGTTCTCTGTAAACTAGAACCCTGTGATTTGCTGTTTATACCACAGTTTTGTTTTTGTAATTTTGATTCTTTGTTTGTTTTGCTGAAATTCTAGCAAAGTTGGAGGTAGCAAATGACCTGTAAGTGGAGTAAGCTTTTTGTATGAATGGATAGGAACAAGTTTGGAATTAAAGGAACATACTAAAAAGCTATGTTAGAGAAAAGTCTTCAGTAACAAAGATGAAAAGTGTTAAATACTGATACCAAAGAAAGGATGTGCACACATCCATGTATTTTTGTCATAAAACCAAAATTCATAAAAATGAAATAAAATGTAATTTTATACTAAACAGCAAGTTAGTTAACCAGAAAAAAAAAACAAACAAAAAGAACAAAAAAACCAAACATATCTTTAAACAGTGGTATATTTAAAGCACGAGTTTATGAGTATTAGAGAAGAATTTTAGAATAATAGACGGCTTAAATTTGAATTTCTTAGCAGAAGGAAATGACAGCAGACCTTCACATGCCATACACTTGCATATTAAGAGAAAAAAATAAAAAAATAAAAAATAAAAAGAATCTTGCCTTACCCGGCCAACTAGTATTGGTTCAGGTCCAGAAAATTCTTCTAATACAAACATTTGATTCCAAACCCAGCCTCTCTTGGAACGGTTCAAAACTCTTTGTTCTTCAGTTAGCCTTTTTAGTCCTGTACTGGATCCACTTGGTAGTACTTGAGATTGATTCATTGGAGCCATATAAATGGAAGGAAGTACAGTAATCCATAAAATTATTAATGGAGTCCATGTATCCATAAGCATTTCCGTTAGTCTTTCTGGCATTGTACCACAAGCTACGCAAATCACCACAGAAATGAAATTATTATTTTGCTTTCCTCCAGACTGTAGCAATCCAATTCATCATGCAGTACAGAACATTTACTTACAGCTCCTCCATGTGTTTACAGCACAGTCAACGTAAAAATAGTTTAGATTATAAAAACATGATCCATTGAGTTTTCCAGTCATTAAGGATTCCTAGTGGGGGAAGAAAAAAGAAAGGTCAAATCAGTGACTAAGAAGCTTAGGAAATACGTTTTAAAAAATATTATTTACTTTTATATCACAAACAAAACTTGCTAGGATTTAAATTTGTAATACACAATACTAGAGCGCATTAAACAGGTTAAAAAGAAAATGAAGTGACTCTGAATTCCTCCATTGCCTGCAATAGCCAAAGAAGACTCAGGTGAGTGCTTACAAACACTCAAGAATGCATTTTACTTGCAGTCTTCCTTGGCACCTGAAGCAGCTCCTGGCCCTCTTACTATCCTATACTTTTTACATAGTTAAATTTTGGATATTTAGTGTGTCAAGTAACAAAAATTTGAATAAAGTAATGTTCTTGCATATGGAGTTATCTTCTTTTCCTCCACAAGAAAAAAACATTTACTCCCGGTAAATGTATAAAGCTCTGGTAGTATGTTCTCATACCAGCAACCATCAACCTGCAGCAGCACAACAGCTCAGCAAACCTTCACAATTCAACAGAGGAACAAGGCTGGAAATTCCACTGTGAAATGCACGATTCCCAAACCACATCTCTACCAAAGTCCCAGTAAGCTGATTTACATACATCTGCAGTCCAGGATCTTCAGTGTCTCTCTCACTTTCAGACAAAATACACACTCAGATTTTATTTCAAAGACATTCTCCTTCATAGGCACTTGGGAGCCCTTTGTCTTTCTTTCTCCACACACCCCTCCACATACTGGGAGTCCACACTAGGTTTCAACTCAGTGTAAATATTCCCTGAAATGGACAAGCAAGTTAACATAGCAGGGCTTGCTGATGCCACGCTGATAGGCAAAATGTGAAATGCAGCCATAGATCACTTAGCAAGATAAATGCAGTGTAGCTCAGGGAGAAGGGCTACATTACAGCTACTCTAATGAGAGTGGAGTTTTGTAAAAAGATTCCTGATACATTTTCATTGACTGATTCATATCCAAGCAATCTCAAGAGAAACCACTGTTTACAAGGTAGGTAGAACTGCGTACTCACAAGCTTACACTGTACCTTAGGCTGTTTTTTCCTTTAAAATGAGTTTCTAGTGGATTTTTGTAGGACTACAAAAATATTGAGGGGGAGGGAGGGGTTGTTATTTTTGGCGCTGTGTGCGTTGCAGATTATATTTTTTGGATTCAGGCAAACTCATGGAGGAACACATTTGAAAATGTGAATAACATCAATACATGTTAGCTGTTTTTTTAAAAGCAAACAAAGTAAGAAGATAGTTTTTTAAACTTGAGTAATTGCCAAAGCAGCTGTGAAATCTACTGCATGAAAATCTGAAACTGTGAGAAACTTGTCTTGTTAAAAAGGGAGAAGAGTTGTTATCAAACTAAAACTCAATATCTCAAGTGCCATGGAAGAACAGTAACCTAATAGTGCAGCACTTTGACAATGCATCAAGAATGAGGTGAATACTCATTACAGAAGTAACCACGCAGCTTGGAAACATCGTTTAGGCCTCATTGCTAACTGAGATGGAAAGAAAGGAAATGGAGAATACAATGTGCTTTTGCGAGGAAAATGTGAGAGAAGAAAGACTTTCCATCTTTCAGGCTTCTTTAAATCCCAAAGAGGAGCACAAGGAACAACAGTCAAATCTCTCAGCAGGAAGGGTCTGCCAACACACCCTCTGGAAACACGCCCTGTCCTAGGGAACTGAAGGGAGGCTATTGCTGCCACTTTCTGCCAGGTGTTACAATTCCACATTTCCAAGGGCAGTGGTAGAAGGCATCAGAAGAGAGAAGCAGATAAACTTGCAATGACAGCACTAAATACTTCATTTGTGTGGGATTCTTGTGCACGTGAGTGGCCTTGCATGTGCATATATGTACCAACAATGAGAAAAATCATTTTTTTAGTAGAGCACAATTTGAAACACAGGAGAAATAGAACCTCAGTAAAACAGAGCAACAGCTGTCATCTTCAACGAGTATGCAGGATTAAATTCAAAGCTGGGGACATAAACTGAAAACACAACAGCCATTCTATAGCTGAGCATTTTTGGTGTTAATATCCAAAGCAATGCTTAAGCCAGAAATGGAGGTCCATCAGAAAGAGCCAGAATGTTATTCTGGAGTTCCCGAAAGCCTTACAATGGACCAAAGTGGGTCACCTTCTTACTAGCAATAGTTGAAACTGCTGAAGATTTCCTTTGTACTCACAAGACCAAATAATAATAAATTAAAGCACCTTTTTCATATTCAAAAGGCTTTTTGAAAACATTTCCTAATTAATCTGCACAGGCTCTCTTCTCTAAAAGAGATGAAACAAATGAGATAAAACACTATGATGCTCACAGAAACACTTCTGTTTGAAGCAGGAACAGGATATTTGTTTTTCAAGCTGTCTCTCTGAATCTCTGGCAAGCATTAAGTTCACTTCAGCACACCCCTCCTCATTCCCCCCCCAGACTTCCCATTACTCTTCACTTACTCCAATCACATTTAGGTTGTAGCCACTAGCACTAACACATCAAAATTCACTGTGACTGGACCATCCTCACAGTAGTTCCCTATTCAGCAATACCTTAAGGCAACTGAACCAAAAGCACACAATAATGGACACACCACGTCACTGAACCTCACTAAATGACATAATCCAGCAAAGAATACTGTTATGCAAGCATGTAAATACAAGTGAATGCGGAACTGCAAGAAATTCTCAGGTACCAGCAGGAAAATAGGCAAGTGCTAGGCAGTGTAGGGTAAATAAAATAAGTAATCTGATGGGGCTTTTGCATGCATCTGCGTACTGCAGAGGACTATGACCAGTATTTAGCAGTAGAGCTGGGTATGTACCTCTATAACTGAACCTAGACTGTTGGAGCCTTTAGAGATTAATTTGAGAAAGAGATTTATTTGGGCTTCACTGCTCTGTCAGTCAATCATGGCATTTACTTGGTGCAGTGCATGAAGACTGTACTGTCCTCAGATGTCTTTAACAAATTTGGAAATGATTTTTCTTCTCCATTAAATGCTTATTCCTGCATTTTCATATAGGTTATTACAAGAAGCAAGAAGTACCGAGTAGTTCAGTTATAATCCGCTGGATTAGATGTGTAGGAGCAAGTGATATGGTTTCTGAATCAGGCTAGTGTAACATTCTAAATAGCCACTTGTAAAAGGAGATTTTGCAGTCAGGGAAAGCTAACAGGAGTATTTTCCCTTCTGTTATTACACCAGGGTCTAGAGGAGCAACGACTGGAATGACAGCGAAGTTATTGCAGTAAGGCCAAAGCTGCCTTGTGCTAAGCCAACAGAAGAGAACCAGCACCGGACGACAGTCAAGTCTTTCCATCTTCATAAAGTTCTGTTGCTTTTGATAAAAGCATAATTTTCACTTTGAATTTCCAGGTATTCAAATGCCTCTGGGCTGTTCTCTTTAATAAAAGTTCATAATTCTTTTAAGTGATTTCCCAGCAAAGTGTATGATATGTAGAACCACAGATACAACTCTAATCCTGCAAAACTGTATACAAAACAGCCTTCGTCAACCAGGCATCTCTGACAAGTGAAAGTGCTATATAAAACTTAAAGAATGCATCAAAAAGATGAAAGAAAATGTTAACACCATGTCAGATAGCAAAGTCAGAGAAATGTCTCATTTCAAAAACATAAGACTGTATTTGTGAATTTGGTTCTTCATGTATAACATAGGGGGAAAAAAGGATAAAGCCAAGCAGTTTGTTTTCCACTTATTCTCTGTGTTGATGAACTTTTAGGAAAATATTATTCTATTGCAGGAAAATGCACGTTGGAGCACAACTGGAGCCTAATACTGTACAAGTTTTACAAAAGAACAAACATAAAATGACTACCTAAGTTCATAAGCTAACACTGCAACACAGCTCCAGCCTACTAACTTCTGAAATTACCATAATACACACTGAAACCTCCTTTGGAACTAAACTCTATGTAGATTACTTGTATAAGTTGCCTCTACAAAGTCAGAATCAGGTATGACAGTAGGCAGTTATAGCAGATATTCAAATTGATGACAGTTCTCATTTTGTGTAATGCGGAGTGGGAAATTATATGGTTGCTGGTATATTTGCTACAACTAATTTTAGAATATGTGAAACAAGTAATTTCATTACAGTTATTTTAAAATCATCGTGTAGTGTTACAAAGTGGACATTGGAATGCAGGAAATATTTAAAAGATGAATAAAGTTTTAAAAGTAGCTTAATATATAAACTGCTCACTGAAAAAGAAGCAGAGAAAGATCACAAAAAGCTCTAAAGAAATCAATTTATTTTTAGATTTCAGACCACAGAATATCTGTCTTGTCATGTAAACCACTTTATCAACAGACTAGTGCATTGATTTACACCATGATCCTAGCATAAGAGATTTAACCATTCCCATATTTCTTCATGTAAAAAAGGATTATTTTATGATTTGCAATCAAGTTTTTTTTCTTTATTTAATTTTGCATTTATCTGAGTATTCATTATGATTCAAAATAACAGCCAGGTCATTCAACCTCACTGTTTCATTAGGGTAGATTTTGACAATTGCAAAGCAGCTGTTACAAAATTTACAGCAAACAAATCTTAGAAGCAGTAGTTTAAACACAGAAATTACAAGAGAGATGCCAGTGAAAAGTTGATGATCGTTGCCTAAAGCAACTTTCTTGTAGAGTTTACAGAATCTTTTACATTCTGGACATTAAATGACCCCCTTCATTGCCACAAAATCATGAGGTAAATGATACATAAATTCAGTGGAGTTCCAGTGGAAATGCTTTAGATCTCTTTATCCATTATCTCTCCCTTTGA